GAATGATACCATGTAGATCATGATGGACAGCGGCTGTCAGTCATACTTTTCACCTCAGAAAGCCGTATTCCTTCATCATGCGTCTCACGGTCTGCAATATCCGACAGCCATGCTACTTTTGTATGAGTATATTTTGTTCGTGCTATGATGTACTTCTGTGATATTCGCTATTCAGCATATGTACTTTTGATATGCAAATTAGTGATGAATTAAATTTTTTTCTGTGGATTTTGTTTTGCATTTTTCTCGATCCTTACTAAAATTGTAGGATACCTCGATTGCCTTCAAAATTTTTGAGCTTGGTCTTAAAAAATACGGAGACAAGCCCGAGTTCGCCCTTGCCTACATCGACTTCCTGTCGCATTTGAACGGTACGATTGTAATTTTTCTGTTTGCTGCTGTTTTTTTCTCCATCGTCATCGAATCTTCTAGAAGACAATAATACCCGCGTGCTGTTCGAACGCATTTTGACGTCTGGAAATTTGACCGCCGACAAATCGCTGTACGATATGTTTATTTTGTAGTTCATTTTTTTAAAAATTTCAGTCGCACACCAAGAAATATAATATGAGTGGTATTAACCTCATTTCAGATCGAAACATCTACCAATGGTTTTGGAGGTATAGTGATCTTCTTAAAATCCTAGCTGTTTCTAGCACGGTAGCAGCTCATCCAGCTTGATCGTTGTATCTGTTTGCTGTCTAAGCGCATATGATCTCATCTCATTGCTTCGAGGGTACCGATAATCACAGGAATGACTTCCGCCTTTACTCTTCTGATCATGTATATTGGAAATCTTAGTTCTTCATGCTTCAGTATGTATTCTCTTACCTTAACAACAACATTGCCGTTAGCCGAACATGAAGTATTAATGATAGGTACCTGTCCATTTGCCTTGTATGCCTACACAATATCCGGATATTGATGCAGTATTTCTTTCCATATTAGTGTTGAGAAGTTGTCGAGTATCTTCACTTGCTCAGTTTCTTCCAGCGCGTTTGGGTAATGTTTGCACCACTGCTTTACCACTGGTAACAGTGCTTGTTTGTTAAAATACCAGAGGACTCTCCTTGCAAGGTTATTGTGCATTTCATATCATTGTATTTTGGATTCGGGGGCTAAGTGGCCGGGAATTATATGAGTCGCAGACTCATTTTTCACTTTACACATTCTCCGCTTTACCTCTGGCTGCGTGTGCAGTAGCTTCGTTTTGTGTTCGTATTCATTGCTTGATCGTAGGCGGCTATTAGAAAGGCTTCTGTTTGCCTCAAAGTTCCTTCCTTGTCAGCTCAGGTGGATGTCTGCATCGTCATTGAGTTAACGAAGGTACTGTCCAACGATTTCTATCATTCTTGCTCTATAATATCTTGAACTTCCCATTGTTTACATACATTTTGTCAGTGTCCATTTTCCGGTACAACTTGCTCTTGGATTTAGCGGATTCTCTTCTCATATTGTGTCTTTATTTTTATTTTTAGCTTTTCATTTTCTACATTATTTATTTCAACTGATTGAGTTATTTTTGGCCTAACCTTATTTATTTTACCTGTCGATGGCGTCACTTCGTCGATTTACGAGATTTTTTCCTTCTTAATCTCGACCATGGCACATTTATCCTAACTGAATTCTATCCCATTATCTTGCGAATAGATTCTTGCGTTTTGGCTCAGGTTAACCAGCTCTTTTACTGCTGTTTTTAACTTTTCTCTTTTCCTGGTACTAGATGGTCTTGAGAATTCCTTGCATTATCTTCTTTTATTCTAGCGAGTCGTTTCTACGTAGCAGTGTTGTTCATTACTGTTTCATTTTCTCTTCGAAGAACTTTGTTAGACCGTCGTTAATGTTTTGAAGTTTTGGCCGTTTCCTGACCTAATGTGGTACTGGATCAAACTGCTTTCTAAAGTCGACACAGGTAATAGCCATGTTGACCTTTCTCCACGAATAACTGATTCTTTGGTCCTCTGTTCACATTCTGCGAGACTAGTTGTGTAACTTTTTCCGTTAGCTAAGAAGGTGGTCGTTCTCGATGCGCTCTCTGCAAGAATACTAACACTGCTGTTTGTGAGTGCGAACGATGTCCGTTGTTTAAGCCAGAAATCATGCACCTCATACAAGCTTGCCCTGTCCAATTTTTGTATTTCCGAGCGCCAGTACATATTTTCCTACAATTATAGCCTTTTTGTTCAGAAATTACATTTGCATTTTTTTTATTTCCTTTACCAAGTTAGTTTCTTTGTTACGGGCTTTGTTACTGTCCCAGTGCGATTCTTCTGAATTATGTTTCCGTGTTAATTGCGGGTTTATTGCTCCAGAATTTATAAATAGCTTTAGAGTTGGTTTGAACGAAGATTCCGTTCTGCTCGTTCCGCTCGAACCTGTCCTGGTATGTCCGATGCAGCTAATGGATTTTAATTAGCGTTATGTCGCTTATTCCTGACTGTGTCTGATCCAATTATGTACTTTTCCATTATAGTCGTCGTTGATTTCTTCATGTTGTACCTGTTGGTTCATATATTTCTTTTTCTTTTTTATACATTCTTCTTAAGTAGAATGGCTCTTCTCTTCTTCTCGGATTCGTTTCCAGCTTAATGCAAAGTTACATTATTATCACAAGAACTTTCACATATGTTGCATCATTGATGGATTGCAAAATACTGGTTTGTACAGGACACAACTTCACTGATATATTTTCGCAGTCCCTTCTTGCCTCTGATGGGAGAGATCCGTCGCCTAGGTTGTTCAAGCCGTTCAAACGCCTGATTGATTGCCTGCTGATTCAGTTTTTCTTCCTCATTCAGCTGGATAACTTCTGTGAATTAGCTATATCGATTTTTGATGTCATAGGCTTTGTCTGAGATGATTTAACTATTACTATTCTGTTCAGCTGGTTAATCCTCTTGCGCAGTGGCATCTGATCTCAACCAGCTGTAATTTTGTTACCAGCGTATCTTTCCTAGTTTGTTTTCTGCTAGTCGTTGCACGCATATATCACTCAGGGGGTTAATTTTCCTTAATTCTTCGATCATTCTTTTTCCTAACCTTTGTCTAACTTCAGAGCGATGTAATAGTCCATTACAACCTTATTTTCTTCCTTTGTCCATTACTGCTTACCCGTCGCCATTCAGCCACGCCCTTAGGCCAGAAATACGTGAAAACAATTCTCTTCGCCCACTGATTACACAATGTCTCAGTTCCTTAACAGCCTGCATTGCTCTTCGTAACCTGTCCCTTAACCGATCCTATGTAGTAACATTTCTATTATTATACACTATAGTTTGTGGAGAGTCCATCGCACTTAGTCTAGCCTCTTTCCTCTAGCATCGGTCGCCCTTCCAAGAGGTGAAGATTCACCCTGGCCTAATTGATGTCAATATGGAAGTAATTAGTTTTGGCAAAGTCTCGCTTTAGTGCCCTTACATTCTGTAATTGACCGTGCTTACAGAATATGTGTACAGATTCGAATTTCTTTCCGTTATTTAGCATAACGTCGTTCAGAGGTTTAATTTTTTGAAAATTACCTTTAATATTTTTTACGTGTAACGACGCATTTAACGGGAAATAGGTTTAATCAATTAGGCAGTGGTGAGATAGATTTTAGATCATTTGATTGTCAAGCTTAGGGCTTCGGATTCTTGACTCATGAGGCGCTTAACGTAGTAAAGCGAGCGGATCAATATTCATTACGCAGAAGAAAATTGAAAGAATACTGTGACATTGGTCGGTGAATGCTGTTGCTTGCTTTACTATGCTAGTACCTCTGTCTGCTTCGCAATTGACCTCGGTTTCATGGCAATACAAACTAGTAGTTAATTTGAACAATAATCGAGATCACTTGCGCTAATGATCTATTTCCAAAATCGCTTTCTGTACGAAAAACTCGTAAATAAGCCATCATACCATACAGGACACGGTGTTTGGTAGTATAAATTTTTTTGCCTAGAAAAAGAACAAACCGCAAAATGTACAAACATCACCGCAGCATGATTAGAATTTATCGTTTTGTTTTTCCGTCAGTTTCAGTACATTAACATTAAACTACTCCTGTGTTACGTCAGCGTAAGGTAAGTGGTAAATTGACCACAAGGTACCGTGCTTTAGTGCAGTTAACCAATCTTGACAGTCGAAAGGATAAAATCCTAATCTTATACTGATCTTTCGAATCTCTTAATTGTTCACCATATTTTAAAGGTTTCTTGGTATATTTCGAATATTTTCTTGCATGAAACTTCTTCTTGAATATGAGATACTTATAGTACATGGAGATCAGTTTATGCTTCACTTGATTTACTGATTTGAATCAGGTAACGACTTGCAGGGATGTTTAAAATCAGCAACTAACCCATGATTGTGTATATCGCTTATTAGAGTTGACCTTTGTAATGCCGACCGAATAAGTATATCACATTGCCAACTGAGTTTCCAAATAGGCAAAAAAGACTCTTGATCTATTTAAACACGAAGATGGTACTATGTACGATTAAGTTTGTTTTAATTTAATCGTTTTACAGAGAACACAGTGACACACCTCATCGCGAAGTGAGAGTTTCCCAATGATCACTTGCATAAAGAGAAAAAAAGTGTAGGAACCCGCAAAGCGGATTTGCTAGGGTGAGGGTTATTCCCGTCAGTCGCTTGGTGATTTGTTGGTATAGAGGGATGTCAACACATGATCAGTGTAAAGCTTAGGTCCTCGTGAAGTACATACACTAGCACGACCAAGATAGCTATATCCCAGTAAAATCGAATTAGCTCATTTTATATCTCTTGAGTTCTTCTGATCCTCACCCCGAGTTCACGTTTACTAATCGGCCGTTTTTGGCAGGCATAATCTTCATCAGGCTGTATTTTTCTGCTGAGCGAGAGTCGAGAGTATGAAGCCGTATTTCTGGTTAGCTCACACTTCGATTTCGTGGCATGTTCGATCTCCATTGATTGGCCTGTGCCTCTCTTCATTCATATGCGGGTGCATTAAGCCATTGGGTTCCAGCTTGTTACTACCCTACAGCAGCAAACTGCTGGTACAGCAGTTTCAGAAGAAGTTCATGACGTTGGCTGTGAGCTGCAGGCTGGATATTTCATGCACGGTATCTGCAATGTATCTTGACATATTTTTTTGTACACATCTGTAACGAGGTCTGAAATCACACGTGTTACTTAATCATAGTAGGACGTTCGCACCGTTTTGGATGCGCAGTGAGATAGGACGCATTTTGATAATCTGATATTTTGTACAGTGAGGCAGCAGGTAGTCATTACGGTCGAAGACTTTTTTAGAGGACTTGCACAGTGACTTTCTCAACAGGTCGATTTGCTTAGTCGAGGGCACCACTGACGATAACGTGTCTGAACTTTACTTCAAATTAACCTACTGTACAGCGAGGTATTTAAAATTCACATATTTGCTAACATTACGCTGTGAGTATTCTTGAACCTTCACGTTTGGCCACCTATATTTCTAACCTCAGTTTTGGACCTGCTTTTTAGCTGGTTTCGCTGAAATACTGCTCCACGAGTTCCGTGCTCCGTACATATTGTTTTCTTTTAAGACAAGTGAGAAGATTTACGTCTCCGCCTCATTGTGATTTCAAACCATAGACGTCCTTGAATTTGGTCTGTGCATTAGTTTAGATTTTAAAACTCTTTAAAGGCAATAACAAAATAATTTTTATTGATTTTTTTTTTCATCCAGCGAAGTTTGGGACCGGTACCTAGAGTTCGAAAGTCTCGTGGGTGACTTAGCAACGATTCTAAAGGTGAACAAACGGCGGCAGTTGGCGGTTGAAAAGGAGTTCAGCAGTCGTCAA